CCCTCAGGATTTATCCTGAGATCCTGTACTTCAGATTGTAGAACCTTTGTCAGTGTCAGCCATGTGGATGAGTCACGGCCACAAAGGACCCATTCTAGACCTACAATTCCACTAGGATTGGGGGAGAGGACTGTTTGTACCACCCTGATAGAGCAGCAGGAGCTTAGTAAGGCCCTATGTGGACACGTGGGCCTGAGGAGCTGACAGTCGCAGTCCCCACCTTTTCTTTCTCTGAGCCACCCTAATCCCTATCTGGTTGTCCTCCTGCAGATAGCCAGCATGCTGCTAGTTTCCCGACCCTACCCTTGTTGAGGGAGCGTACACGAGGCAACAGCAGCAACAGGGAGCACAGGTCCATTTACTCAGGCTCTGATCCCCAGCTGGACATGAGAATGAGAACTGAGAATGCCTACGCACCTCACCACCAACCTAGCCACCTTCTCAGGTACTGCCTGTGTCCCTTGTCCCTCTCCTGTGGTCTTATGAGAGGTTCTGATGTTCTGTACACAATACCTGCTGGTACAACCAGCAGACTGGGAAAGACTTTAGCTTCCTTTCTACAAGACAGCTGGGGTGAGCAAGGTGGGTACTTTGTTTACTAACTTCCTTTCCTGTGCTTTCCCCTCTTACCTCCCCTCTATTTCTTCCCTCCGTCTTCCATCATAGACCCGTCTACTTCCCCCAATCCAGCTGCTGTGGGGAAGCAAAGGAGGAGAGAGGGAGGGACACAGTATGTGTCTTCAGCCTCCCTTGCTTCCACAGTGGGGACTGCTGTGTGGTCTTCTGGGCCCCTCCCCCTCCTATAGTGGGGTGCACTTCCTGGACAGTGCTTCTTGACTTGCAAGGATATTGCTGGATGTGCTTCTCTGCAGTGATCGTGATGGGAATTCAACCTTGGAAGACCAGGGTGCAGCCTCTTCCTCAGAGGACAGCGATCCAGACATCCTCTTGCTGCATGAGAACAGTGAACCCCGCACTATCTTGTACAGAGTCCTTTGGGAGAACCAAACCCAAGTGGTTTCCAACTTGCAGGAGTATGTGGCACAGGTACAGGCCTACCAGAGGGCTCCTGCTAATCCTGTCCCTCTGCCTGCCTCCAAGTCCCCAGACAACTCTAAAGAAGGCCTAAAGTTCCTCTACCCTGGAATAGTTGCCTAACTACAGTGATCACCTTAGTATTTCCCAACATTCTTCCCTTCCCCAACAAAACAAAAGATACAAAGGGTGTGTGTGTGTGTGGGGGGGGGGATTGCTGAAACATGAATTTGCAGAACACTGCAGTGCTTCCAGGCATTTGTGAGGCATTGCTGCCCCCTAGTGGAAAACAAGCCAGATAGCAGAAAGGGTTCCCAGTGTCTGGCCTCCTCTCAGCTTACCTTGGTTTTGAGTCTTGGGTCTGAGTTAGCTCTCAGTGTTAGTAGGACACACTACATCTGCTCTCAGAATCCAGGAAAATAGCCACGTTAGGGAAATAGTTATGGATGAGAATGAGTATTGAACAGCATACAGCAGAGGCAAATTGATCTTCCTTACTTAGTTTTTGTATTTTAGTTAGGGTCTACAGGGTCTTACTTCGTAGATTGGACTCAAAATGATTCTCCTGCTTTCAGCCTCCCATAGTCATGCATCGCCACACCCAGTCTCAGTCACTGCCTCAGTGCGCCCCGGTCAGTCGCTGTGTCTGCCTAAACAGGCGCTTTAATCCACTGAGCCACTTGGCCAGCCCCTGCCTTACTTACTTTGGATGGGGAAGGTCTTTTTAGGAAGAGGTCACTACCTCCCTATGAATTAGGCCTTTTGAGAAGGCCCATTGACGAGGGTAAAACAGAAGGTGCAACCAACCAAAGGAGCTTGGTGAGGTCATGTGCCACAGGGGACCCAGAAAGGAAGGATATGGAGGGAATCCCAGGAACAGACATTTTGAATTTTCTATCCCCACTCCCCAAGTCAATGATGATTCATGTCTTTGTGTGCATGGTCAGATTTCAGAAAAGACGCGTCTCTCAGTTGCTCACATCAAGCAAATAATTGGGATCCTGAGGGACTTCATCCACTTCCCGGACCGCAGGGTGATGGTATCCATGATAGCAAAGCTAAAGGTGCACCTAGGCTTTGACCGCCTACGCATCAATCAGGTTCACCGGATACTATCTGGATTCCAGACCTCCGTAAGTGCTCCATCTGTCCCTAGAGAATATGCTAGACCATGAAATCAATCACTGTCTTCTCCTGTAGCTCCCATTTCTTCTCATCAGTTTATACCTAAGTCCTGAATTTCAGCAGCTCCTTTTAAAGAATGAGCATATAGGCATAGGAAATGTCATCTGGTGAATGGGCTGATTGCATTTGGCCACAAAGCATGCATATAGGGTATGGAAACACAGGGCATGTGCCAGCAGTCAGTACGGAGTCCAAGTTTATGTGAAGGCCCATTGATGAGGTCCCTGATCAGAGGTGAAAGTAATTGCAGTGTTGGCACATTGTGATAAATAAGTGGGTTTTGGGTTGCAGTTTGGGCACTTATCTCGGAAAGGTTTGTCATCAGTAGCCTAGAAGACCATTCAGAAGAAATATGTCAGGCAGAAATATGTCAGCATGCTTAACAATCTCAGAGTAGAAGCAAATAGAACTTATATTTCTTAAAAGCACAAAAGAATAAAAAAAATGCACTTTTGTGATTTTAGGTAAATGATATTTTGAGAAACTACAGAATTAGTACTCACTGCATGTTTGCAATGGACAACATCCTCAGGAGAGCGGTACAGATTGCAGTCACCACTCTCACCCCAGGTAATAGCCCTCTTTGTGGTCAGGGTCACCTTCAGGCTGTGGAAAAGACTAGAAATAACATCTGGGTTCAACAACTGTTGTGTTTTCTTTTTCCCATCCTGGCTTTGTACTTCCTGTAATGAAGTGAATGCTGCTATAGATCTCTTCAGGGGCCAAGAACAGCACATGGGCTGCATTTATCTCTTCCCAAGGTGCAGTGAAGGTGACTGCACTCAGACTAAACTTGTGCACTAAAAAGGGAGTGTTGAGCCTAAGGATGGGGGCCTCTCATGGTCCAGTGTGCCTGCTCACAGGTGCTTACTAGAGAGCTGATAATTAAATGGCTTCATTTCTTCTCTGAGAATCATCTTGTGGTACCTATGAAATTTAGAGCTTTTGTTTTTTTGGTGTGGGAGATTGCACCCAGGGCTTCATACGTGCTAAGCAAATGTTCTATGTCTGAGCTATGCCCCAGGCCCAATTTGGGCTTTTGTAGACTTTTTGAAGTACTAAATAAAGCAGCTTATTACCAAAGTTTAATACCAAAGTTGCTCTCTCCTGCCGTGATTCTTCCTATCAATGGATGCTTTAGAATGACTCTGCTGACATTGTGCCTTCCTTTCTTTACTTTGGGCAGTGGCTGGTTATGGCTATTCTCCTGAATGCTCTCTACCCTGGGATCAGCTGGCGGGAAGGGCACACTGAACCCCAGGACTCTCCCTTCTTCTATGGCCTGGTTGTACGTTTGCTGAGCTTTCCTAGCTAATTTACTTAGCATCTTTAATTCTCAGTTCCTTCTTATATAAGCTGGGGGTGATCATCTTTGCATTGGAGAAAACAGAATTAAAGCATTTCTTGTCCTTTCAAAGTCAGCACTCCCTTAAGTGTTGCAGTGACCTAGGCACCAAGTGAATAGCCTAGTTTGCCAGCAGGAAACATAAATGATACTAAGCCCAAGCCTTATTAAAGTGGTGTTTTCATAACCATGGTCAGTGATTTTGTAGAGCTCCGAGCTCACTTTGAGCCTGCCTGAGATACAAGGAGTAGATAACATAAAAGGGGGCTATTCTGCAGGAGGCCAGTCTGGTGAAGCATATATGGCATACAGTGTGAGCAGACATTGTTTGGTGGCTATGCAAGAGGTCCCACACCACCAGCAGCAAGCGAGACTCCAGGTGAAACAGATCAAGGAGGGAACCAACAGGTAAGGACCTTGCATTCCAGGCTGTCTGCCTGAAGCAGGGGTGGGACACTGACCTGAACAACAAAGCAGTTGTTGACAGTATCACCAGCTCTCAGAAAAAAAAACCTTCATTATCAATACACGAAACAAGGATGTATTCATAGCTTTGTGCTATTAGGAATCAGACAGGCCTAGGCCATAGACCACAGAAAAATATGCCCACACAAAGCAGCAAAATCTGAGCTCTGTGTCTTTACCAAGATGGTACACCTACCATAGCACGGTGGGACTCAGCAGGCTCAACAGTGGACATCTGTGGCCACTCTCTTAAGTAGCAGAGTTTGAAGCTTAGTTTGCATTTGGGCAATGGATGTGTATCCCATACCCTTCACCCCAAAGAAAGCTGCCTTTATATCTTCCTTGCTCCCCAACAAGGCATCAGTGAACTGTTTTCACAACCAGGGGGCTCTGGCACTGCCATAATGTTCACCCTGGCATGTAGTTAGGTGTCCAGAATTATTTGTTGAATAAATAATGAGTAAAAGGGAATCACTTTTATAAATGAGTTTGTTGGGGGTTTTTGTTTGTTTTTTGCAGTACCAGAGATTGAACTCAGGACCTTGCGCTTGCCAGGCAAGCACTTACTCTACTGAGCTATCTCCCTGGCCCCATAAATGAACTTTTAAAAAGACTCCACAGCTCTAGCAAATTCGTTGGTACCTGTTATAAATGATGCATTGTTGCCATATGAACACTGGTGATGCTTCTTAGTTAATAGAAAAGTGCCAGGTATACATACTTTGGATGAAATGTCATATACATTCATCTAATAATCATTTGTCTTTTAAAAAAGAAGAGCCAGAATTTTAATCAGATTGTAGGTAGTGGCAAAATGTTCAAAGTTTCAGAAAGATGATAGATATGAAAGCTGGTAGTAAAACAGCATTTAAAAAATTTTCTCAGTAAGATTTATAATCACCTAATTCAGGTTATATATGGATTTAAAGATTATTCCTTTGCACTTTTGTTATGTTGCAGTTTCAGCAACTAAAGCACTGATTAAACAGCAGCCAGCACATTAATGAAAATAGCTAATAAACATGGAATTCCTGTGCAACCTGCCTGTGATTGGGGTAGGAGATGGCTTAGCTGTGTGGCAGGTGGGCAGTACTAGAGAATGGCCCTTACTGGACACAGTAATGTTATTAAGGATAACTGGTCTGTCCCAGTAAGCAACAAGTCTGAGACTCTACTGAATGGGCACAGGAACTAGCTAGAATTGTCCCATTCATTTAGGTAAAAGGATTTCTTAGTAGATAAAGGTGAAAAAAGGTAGAGGTGAATTTCTTGTTGAGCACCCATATTCCTTGCTTGCTGGAGAAGTGTTCCCCTCTCCTACCCACTTCGTTTTGCCACAAAACTGCCCAGGGGTACCTAAGTCCTCAGCTGATTACATATTATTGTAGTGACTTGTGGGGCAATGTCAGTAATTAATGTGACATTTTAAAGCTTAGTTTTATATTCCCTAGTTCACTTGAAAATATAACTTAAGATCACACACAGTGGAAGCAAACTAATCTCACGTATTAGGTATATCAGCAAACAAAAGGCTAGACATGGCTTTGATCTTCCAGCCCCTGCCCTCTTCCCCAGGCATGCTACCTGAGCTGATGCATGGGGATGTAGAAGTTTGAGACCTCAAATGACAAGGCCTACCTTTCTTCCTCAGGTAGACCATGAGCAAGGCTGAGTATAAGGATACTGTTCTAATGGGAAGAATCCAGTCTGTGTGACTCTGGGTGAATTATTTTATCACTGCCAGTTATCTCTAAAGATTGAGGTTAGATAAGAATTATATTTAACTTCATAAAAATTTAAGGCTTCAATGTCTTAATCTGTGGAAAATGGTGAGCAGTCCTGGATTGTGTTGAGTACTCAGTGACTGTGAAGTCTTCCACATGTACCATACACTGTTTCTCCCCAGGTCCCAGATATTATCAGAAGCAGTCCCCCTGGTTTACTCCTATGACGAAGGAGGACTCTGGCCATCCTGGTCTCAACTACTTTATCTGAGACAAATTTAATCAGATCATCCTTCTAGGTGACACTCACTGATGACCATCATATTAACTAATGGTTCATGCTGCATTCTAAGACAAAACTGTCTTAGTCTACTCAGGCTGCTAGGACAAAATGCCATATAGTGGGTGGCTTACAAACAAAGAAGTATTGCTCACAGTTCTGGAAACAAAAGTCCAAGATCAAGGTGGTGGCAGACTTAGTAAGGTCCCACTTCCTGGCTCACAGATGGCCAACTACTTGCTGTATTTTTGCATGATAGAAGGGACAAAGAAGTATTAGGGAAGATTTCTATAGGAGCATTAATTTTACTTCCTAAAGGTTCACCCTTATAAATAGCACCTTAGGGTTAGAATTTCAACAGAATTTCAGGACACAAACATTCCATTTCAAAAATATATTCACATAAGGAACATTAGTTTTTGTTTCCAAGGAGAGGGAAAACACAAGGAAGGTTCCCCTCCATGAGCTGAAACCTGACTCAGAACCTTTTAAAAATAATATATCAGGGCCAGGGAGATGGCTCAGTGGAATAAATGCTTCCCTGGCAAGTACAAGGGCTTGAGTTCAATTCCCGGTTCTGCCAAAACAAACAAACAAAAACCCCAATATATCACTTCCCTCTGTGGGCTATTGGGGTTGTCGTCCCCCATCGTCTACTCCCCATGCCTCCTATCAAATCACTAATGTTCACAAATGTTTTGAGTTGGACTAGGTGGTACTAGGCTCTCTAAATGGCATTTTTTTCTTTCTAAACCAGACTTTTAGAACACGTAGTTCACAAAGAGAGAGCGTACCAGAATCTTATCCAACTAACTCTACGACAGAAATGTGAAGAACTGTATCAAATGCAGTTACAATACACAGGCAATGGTGAGTCATTTTCTGTTTGCCCTATTTTAGGTGTGCTTGAATGTGAGAAAGTACTTAAAATCTGGCTAATATTCCAGCCAGTCTTGGAGAAAGAGCTGAGGTTATCTTCTATTAAACCAGAACTCTAGTAGATTCTGGAATATTAATTAAAAAAGGAACTACTGTTCTATTCAATATGGGATAGATTGCAAATGCAGTATGCTGAGTAAAAGAACTAGACTCAAAGGCTACATACTGTGATTCTGTTCACATAGTACTCTGGAAAAGGCAAAAATAAAGGGACAGAAAATAAACCAGAATGAACAGGAAGGAAATTATAAAAACACAAGAACCTCTTAGGGTGTGGAAATATATCTTGATTGTGGTAGTAGTGACATGAGTTCCCAATAAGTACCCCTTAGAAAAGTGGTTTACTATGTAAGTTATACTTCGGTAAACCTCTCATTTTGTGACACTTCGAGGGGTTACAGTTGCCACTTAGAATGTGGAATGGATAAGCTCTGGCATAAAGCCTGGTTTTTCATTTTATGTCCAGTGCAGTTAGGTAGATACACTACATCTCTCCAAGATAAGGCACTTTAAAGACAGGGAAATAAGCATTTAAACTGAGACAGATACCGTGTCAAGTTGTACATTTATTAAAGGTAGAGGGTAAATGAGGATGATTCTGCTCTCTGTAAAACAAACTCTAGAAATATGAATTGTATAATATATTTAGGGGAGCTGAATAACAGGTTTAATTCATCTTTTCACATCACACTTACATTCTGGATAGTTTCTTACATCCATTTTACTTTTGAAAAACATGTTAATGTACAACAAGTTTCTAATCATTACAGGTACTGAAGAGATTCCATCACGCCTTCAGTTACAGACAGCAGATGAAGAGCTTAGAAACTGGTTGCAGCTGCAAGGAGCGGATCAAAAGACAATTGAAAAGGTATATTTATAACCAAAAACGATTCCTGTTGACATTGTAAAAAAGCTGCTTATCTCATGCATTTCATCTTTGTTTCAGATTGTTGAAGAGGATTACACTCTTTCTGATCTTCTTAACAACATCACTAGGGAAGAACTAAAGAGACTTCGACTACGGTAAGAGGTTCAATACAGTTTGTATAATAGAACATAATGCCGGTAACTTCCCCCATCTAAATCTGGACTAAATCTGG